ATATGTTTTTTCTTATTGCAAAAATATCATGTTAGGTGTAGTGTTGGATTTGACATTAAAAAATATATACAGAGAGAGCAATCAAAATTGAATTGGAATTACGGTAAAGAAAATAATCATGAATGCAAATGTTGAGAAAACTTTTCGTGACCCTAATAGTAACGAGAATAATAAAAATATTACCATCACAGCAACGAAATTTGAAATTAACTGATAGGGAAGAAAAATACACGATGTAATTTGGTAAGCCTAATTACAACAAACGGAAAAAGTTGCTATATATATATATAGAAATTAATTAGCAGTTTGAGAATTAAAGGTAAAAATAGTAACAAAAGCGGCTATATTATTAACAACAACGAGAGTCGATGCTATAAACATAACTCACAAGTAGAAGATTTTAAGCTTTTTACATCCCTCTAGCATGTTAGAATCCCGACACTTGCATTAACAAAAGTCAATTAAACACGATATTGAGTGACACCCAGTTGAAAACTCAAAAAAACCCATCTGAAATCATAGTTGAAACCTGAAATAAAACATGAAAATTGGTGTCAAAAAGTCAAAATTTGAGTTCAATTATGAACTAGTTTCTCTCTCCTCTCTTAGTAATTTAATCAAAGAAAAAGGTGGGTAGCTATATGTCGTTGGTCTGCGATACACATAAATTTGACTCGTCGTTTTCATTTGTTATTGGCCTAATTCTAATTATTAATTTAACTCTCCAATCATTCACCCCTCAAGCGTGTTTAGTGTGCTTTCTTTTCAGACCCTTAAAACCAATTTTTTTTGCTAAAAAGCCCTCAATTATTACTCTATTGAAAAGGCATCTTGTTCCCTTTTAACCCTAGTGCCTTGTATGTTATTCTATTCCTCGTCTTGCAGCTTCTCTCGCTACTCGAGTCAAATTTGAATAGGTGGTGAAACTATTGTTCTACGTTTAATTTTCTTAATCATTAGATAAAAACAAAAGTTAATGTAATACTAGTGTTGTGTGTGACAACTAACATCACATCTTTATATGTTTGGTACAGAACTATATATATACATATACACGACAAAGTTAATGCCGATATGATTTAGGAGACATCGCTTTCAAGTTTCACGTGGTGTTGTTTAGCTTTTTCGTTAAGTGTGGGAATATAATTAATATTTGAGGAAATTTTGATGTGCTAATTTACAAATATATAAAAATACAAGGACAATATGAGAGTTAGGTTAAATCTTGATTTGGTCCTTAAATTTTCATACATAGTTGATTTTAATCTCTAAAAGTTCAAATATTCTATTTAACCCATAAACTTGGTATAAAAATATAAACTATTCCAATTTCTGTCTTGAATTTTCCATTAAACCCTCCGAAAAGAGTCTATAAAGCCCTTTCAAAATTCGACTGGAGATCTTATGTATTGAACTACACTCGAGAATTAAGGGCAGGTGTGGTAGAACAGATAAAATTATTATGAAATTGGATTAAAATAGAAATTAGCAATGGACAAGTAAGGATTTGCTAGGCTTGCAAAATCTCAGCATCGCGTGTCCTATAAGAAACCATCACCAACTGATCTAATGGCGATGGCAAGTGATATCATGTATGTGCCATTTCATTTGTCGTCTCTCTTAAGTGCTAAATTATTGGCTCTTTGTTTCTTCTCTCCATAGGGCCCAAAAACCTTCTAATCCCCTCTGCATTTTGGTGTCATTTTTTCAACATACAGACATTTCTTTTTCTAATTATTTCTTGCATTTCATTTGTTCTCTTCTTACCCCTCTCAATAATTGGGGGGAAATTTGGAATTATGCTTCTTGAGTCGGATTATGCGCATTGTCCTTCACTTTATTTTTTACTTAAAATCAAGTCAACATAAACTTAGCTTAGAGATAATTGACACCTCTATCTGATCCAGAGGTCATGAGTTCGAATCTCTCACTCCCAGTTGCTGTAAATATGTTATATATTCATTAACCGATTAAACATAATCCTAAAAATTCAGAAACCAAACCAGATATTCTCTTTCCCTACTTTGACGTATCCATAAGTGAAAGGAACATTAATTATTGGTACGAAACAAAGACAATGAATCTATAAACGTAGAATGAAACGATTTGTTCCACCACAAATTAAAACTTTACAAATAAAGAGAGCAGTAGTGGCCCCTGTGCAACCACCATGCCCACCAACTGTTCGAGGAAATACCTGAATGAAACCATTAAATAACTTTGCCAAAAGCCTTCTTCGTACTGGTGGAGGGCTGGCATATGAGCTGTTCTTTTGTTCCCACTCCTTTTGATTTACTTTATAATTGTACATGTGATCAT